GGAACACAACGTTTCACCAATAAAAAATCACCGCAAAAACCATTTTTCGCTTCGATAAAACGTCTATATTTACTATGTAAAAATAATCAACAATATTATGCCTACCGTTTATTGGACCAGACCAAATTATACTGTATAGTGAAGGTTACTGGATACGTTTTCGTCTAAAACTATTTTATTAACTTTTATTTCTAACTGTTAATTTGTGTAGATGAAAGCTCTTTAGTAATAAAAGATCCGGCTTAATTAAATTTGGTCGGTTATGTAGTGTAATAGTTAAGGTTTTGTGTCATATTTTATCGATTCTTTAATGTAATGAGTTGGTTTATTAACAATAAATATCACATTTTACCTACTTTACACACATCTATTCTCTAAAAATAAATAATAAACTTGTTTTTGCGTATACTTATTGTATGTAAGCTTCTTTATACGTATAATCCTGACATTAATCTTACCTTTTTAAGGATAAAATAACATGTAATATTTGGTGCGAATAATTATAGCCAATAGGAACATGGGGAAAAATTAATAAACCCGGCTAACAAGAACTGTTGATTATATATTTAGGTCTCATTATATATTATAATATATATTAATTATATCGTTTTTATTTTATCAGTTTTAATTAGAGATGTACTCGTGCACGCGCGAGTTCGCGAGTCTCAAAAAATTTCATTAAAAATTTCTTAATCAAATAGTTCATCTCACGAATCGCGAGTTATCGCATCAAGCGAGGTACGTCTCTAGTTTTAACTACGTACGGTATCGATATATGATAAAATTAGTTTTATAATGTGGTAAAACCCAAACATAGTGTCAATAAAAGGTTATGTCGGCATCACTAATCTGATCCTTTTATACTTATTATCTTTGTATTTACGCACTTGAAAATCTAAAAAAAAATATTCATACTGGTATTATAGTTTATATTTATATTGTCTTTCTCATTTAGTTCATACTTACGAATTGCAATGCTAAGCAGAAAAATTATTTTGGTATTCCACGCTGAGCATGTGAAAAATATTAGAGCCTTCGTTGTTACAATTTCATATTGGCACGGATAGTTTTTTGAGAAAATTCCCCATTTCGTTATAAGCCAAGAAACTTATTGTTGCAGTGTTTATCAAGTAATTCAAAATTGATAATATAAGTTTTGTCACAATTGCAGTGTTGTATTGATTATTCTTTAATTAACTTTATTTGTTGTGTATATTCATGGCTTAAAGCTATTTGTTAGAACTGAGGTCAAGCCATTCCCTACGAAATTTCAAAATCCAATAATTGAATTGAACTTAAGTCAATTATTGGATACTAAAAATATATAGTAACTGACTTCTTTTTTTTAAAAAAAAAAAAACAAACTAAGATTAATGGGAAACTGACTTTTTAAAAAAAAAATTAATAATAATGGAAAAACAAGGACTGTTTTCTTTGTAAATTTCTTAAAAGCAACAGCAATTCATAAAATGCTATGTATTTTAAATTAAACTATAATTTATAAGACCTAATAATTAATAAAAAGACATTAACTGCTTTTATAATCAAATATTCTATTTAATTTAATTCATCTAATCTGTCTTTAATGAATTTTTTTCAATTTTTTTTTAAGTTTCTGTATTGCACCAATAAATTTTACAGAGGTAACTTCCAATTGATCTACAAGCGCATCATATTTATCATTCCATTCCAATAATTCTTTTACGGTTTGATGGTTCGCATTTACTTCTGCGACTTTCACATTAAAATTTGCAATGTCTGTTTTAAAGGCTCTATAGATATCGAGCACTTGGTGAGCCTTTCTCTCATAAGAATCCTGGAAACTCACCCCCAATGTTTTTAATTTGGATTCTTTAACAGGGGTTGCATTAACAATAGCAATAGTAAATATTAAGAAAAGGGTCAAGATCGATAAGAACTTCATGTTTATTTGAAGGTTATAGAATTTTTTTTAGATATTACGCTTTTTTTGATGTTTAAAATGTTATAATAACTTGGTGCATTAAAAATTTGATGCATAGTTATATATTTTCAAATGGTAAATCTTTCAAGTTATCAAAATTTGTGTCTTTAATTAAAATTAAAAACTAAATCGAGATCTCATTTCTTATTACGATTTGTTACATATGATTAAAGACATACATTTCCTCAACAATTTCGTGCGTGATGCGTATCCCATGTGTGATCTTTCAAGTTATCAAAATTTGTGCTTCGAATTAAAATTAAAAACTAAATCGAGATCTTATTTCTTATTACGATTTGTTACATATGGGTTAGGTGCTATAGAAAAGGGGGAAGTCAACAAAAAAAAAAGCTCTTCGGAAAATCTATTTTATATTATGAATTTTGAAGAGCTATACTGCAAACTTTTATTAATAAAACTACTTTTGGGTTTTAAGTAAAAATTGATCCTGATTGTATTTTAAATTAATTTATATAAAAAAATTAATTTTAAAAAACTGTTGATTTCCCCCTTTTCTATAGTACCTGTCCAATATGATTAAAGACATAAATTTCCTCAACACTTTCGTGCGTGATGCCCATGTGTGATTCTAAAATTCCTGCATGTGAATTAATGAACGTCATGTGCGGTATCGGGAGATCCGTATAACTAGGTAATGCGTAGCATTGTGTGTCCGAAGCCTAACACATGATGATCAGCATGCTACACAAACGCGAAATAA